CGATTTCCACTTGCTGACGCTGATATACCAACAGCATTCGAAGAATATTCCCATGCCACTCCAGCATATCAATGTTATCTTAAATGCATAATGGAAGAGCTAAACACATTCGTCAATGGCGAATATAATATTGAGGGAGCAAAACAACTTTGGCAACGTAGCCCAATAATGAAAAATAATATTTCGAAAATGATTGAAATAGCCAAAGAATGTCAAACGTTAAAGGGTACAACGGAATGTGAAACACCATTCTTAATTAGTGCATGTATACTTGAAAAGTCGTTTAAGGCTATGCCGGAATTGCAGGATTCTATTGGATTTCAATAATGTGAGATAAATCTGTATTTCTATTTTAAACGTAGAAATGGAAATATAAAACAATAAATAGGTATATTAAAGCAAATATCACTGATGTTTGCATCTTGGAAATGAATGGATTTCCATGTATGTATAAGGAAATAAGCACTTTTGTGTCATAACGAAAATCTGATACCGGGCAGAGACAAATAACGTAACTTTAGCAGTTACCATATGGTAACTGATTGTTAAACAGATGCCTCTTGACTAGTGGGAAGCAAGTGAATGGGACTCTGAATTGAAGAACTGGGGACTGACATGTCACCTTGCCTTTCAATTCACAATACTACACTTTATGCGGATGTTCAAGCTATAAAAAACACTACACATCCGACTTACTGAGTTCAAATTGTGGACTAACAACAACAAATATCATAACTGGTAGCCAACAACCTAAAAAGTACTAGCCCAAAAAATAAATCTCCATCTCAATATATTTTTCTATCTTGTCCTTTTCTAGGACATACAACAGACCTTGATTAGCTTAAGTGTAAGTGCCCCTTTCCAACATAATCTAAAAACATCGTTCTTTAAAAACAAGTTATCCGGCTAAAGTTTTTATACTACTTATATGAAGACTATGTCATTGTTAATTGTTTGCTAGTAAGATGTTTATGCTCTGAGAGAATTAGGCAAGGACGTATGGGTCCTTTGCACGGAACCATCTAAAGACATGGATCTACATATATTGCACATTTTCTCCACCAGAAATGCGTAATGCCAAATTACAATCTCTTCGGTTTGATATGCGCACAAGGGCGGGTCCTTAAAACCATGGACCTGTACCCGAAAATATTCTGCTCAAACGCTGATAGTACTCCTAGGATGTTTGGTATTGCAAATGGAATATTTCGGTCCAAGTTTTAGTGTAGTCCCATTAACGGTACCCCTCAATAATCGGCCTTTTGAGGATTTTGGACACGTTTTCCAACCGAATTTGATGTAATTTGGTATTTCGCGTTCTCATTGAATAACACATATCCGTATCAAAAATTATTAATATTGACCAAAATTCCATATTACGTTCTTCAATCAAATTGGCGATAATTTGGTATTTTGTGTTCTCATAATCTATCAAATCTCACTACCAAAAATATGAATAATTATCTCAATTTTATTATAGCCCTATACAACGGTAGCCACACTTTTAGATATTTGAGCATTTTAATCATCTTTTTCTCATGTATTTTTCGGTATGTTCAAGGTCCTACCATAACTTGAATTTCCTCCTCCTCCCCTTCAATGTTCGATATTTTGATTGTCATCCTCATGGTGGAGGGTAATAAAAGTTCGATCGGTTTTACCCTTGACTACACTGTGTTTCCCTTTGAGAATATGAATAGGATCACTTTCTGAGTCGATTTATGCATGTCTGTCTTTAAACAAAGTACAGACATTTAGACATAGCTCCCATATACATTTTCGTCCGATTTATGGTAAATGGTGTACCAAAGTCCCTATATATCTTTCGATTTGCACGAAATTTGGCATAGCGTACTGAACTAAGTCTAGAATGATGTGTGCAAAGATCTTGATATAGCTCTCATATATAGTATCGGTCGATTTTAGGTAAAAAGCTCGTAAAGTCCCTATGTATCTTTCGAGTTGCACGAAATTTGGCATAGCGTACTGAACTAAATCTAGAATGATGTGTGCAAAGTTTCGTGAAAATCGGTCCAGATTTTGATATAGCTCCCATATATAGTTTCGGCCGATTTTAGGTAAATAGCTCATAAAGTCCCTATATATCTTTCGATTTGCAGATTTTGATATAGCTCCCATATATAGTTCGGCCGATTTTAGGTAAATAGCTCATATCTTTCGATTTGCACGAAATTTGGCACAGCGTAATGAATAAGGTCTAGAATAATGTGTGTTAAGTGAAAATCGGTTCAGATTTAGTCGCTTTGCACAATATTTATCATAGCGTACTGAATTAAGTCTAGAATGACGTGTGCTAAGTTTCGTGAAAATCGGTTCAGATTTAGATGCAGCTTCCATATATATTTTCGTCCGATTTTGTGTAATTGGTTCACCAAAGTCCATATAGCACATATTTTGGTATAGGGTACTTAATTAAATCTAGAATGATGTTGCTAAGCTTCGTGAAAAAATTCATAGCTAGGCAGAATGATACTACGTACTGAAGTAATATAAATTAGTCTCTTGCAAGTTTCCCTGAAATCGGTTCAGATATAGATATATAATAAATACGCGACCTCTGTTAGTATACATATGTAGAATATACCAAAAATGGTGAAGGGTATCATATAGTCGGCCCCGTCCGTTTTTACTACTTTCCTTACTGGGTTTTAAAGGTAACTTCATAATGTCTCTCTCTCTCTATTTGCAAAATTCTCTAGTAGTCGATTTTTACAATATGCAATGCACGAAAAATATGATAATCAATACCAAGTCCGGACTGTATGGCGGATCCATTAAAATTTCCTAACTAACCTCCCGAAGAAAAAGATGATAATCTCTTGGTGCCAAATCCAGACTGTATGACGGATGCATTAAAAGTTCCCAACCAAGCTCCCGAAGTTTCTGGCAAGACACTGTAGATGTGTCTGGCCTAGCGTCCTGGTGGAACACGACACCTCTCCTGTTGACCAATTCTAGCCGTTTGTGGTCAAGTGCTATCTTAAAACGTTCCAGTTGTTGACAATATAGATCAGAATTTAGCGTTTGGCCATATGGAAGCAACCCATAATAAATAATCCCCTTCCAGTCCCACGAAATGCATAGCAAAACCTTCCTGGCCGTTAGTCCTGGTTTGGCCACCGTTTGAGGTGCTTCACCGCCCTTTGACCACGATCGTTTTCGCACAAGATTATCGTATGTGATCCATCTTTCATCTCCAGTCATCATCCTTTTTAAGAAATGGGTCTTCCGTTTGGCCAAGGTTTCGTAGATGGAAATTCCATCCATCCTAATTTTTCTGTTAATTGTTGAGGCACCCAAACATCGAGCTTCTTTTCGAATACAGGTTTGTGTAACGGGTTTAAAAAGTTTTATGGTAGCTTTTAAGCTCCTGGGCGATGTTACGACTGCTAACATGCCGGTCAACTTCAATTATTTCTCGAAAAAAATATTAAAAAAATCCAAATCCAAGTTAAAAATTTTTTATTGTCCCTTAAAAATATTTTTTATAAAAACCACGGTTGTATATGGTCATTTAATTGTTATACCCTTCACCACACTGTGGTACAGGGTATTATGTCTTTGTGCACATGTTTAAATAATCGAGATAGACCCATGGTTCCTTTTGAGAATATGCATAGAATCACTTTCTGAGTCGATTTACGCATGTCCGTCTGTCCATTAAATGAAATTTGGCACAGCGCATTTGTTTGGCCCAAGGACGAACCCTATTGAAATTGGGAAAAATCGGTTCAAATTTAGATATAGCTCCCATATATATTTTCGTCCGATTTAAGGTAAATGGTGTACCAAAGTCCCTATTTATCTTTCGATTTGCACAAAATTTGGCATAGAATGATGTGTGCAAAGTTTCGTGAAAATCGGTTCAGATTTAGATATAGCTCCCGTATATATCTTCGTCTGATTTATGGTAAATGGTGTACCAAAGTCCCTATATATATTTCGATTTGCACGAAATTTGGCACAGCGTACTGAATTAAGTCTAGAATGATGTGTGTTAAGTTTCCTGGAAATCGGTTCAGATTTAAATATAGCTCCCATACAGAGTTTCGCCCGATATTAGGTAAATAGTCAACTAATATACCTATATATCCTTCGATTTGCACCAAATTTGGCAAAGCGATATGAATAAGGTCTAGAATGATGTGTGTTAAGTTTTGTGAAATCGGTTCATATTTAGATGTAGTTCCCATATATATTTTCGTCCGATTTAATGTAAATTGTATACCAAAGTCCCTATATACCTTTCGATTAGCACGAAATTTGGCATAGCGTACTGAATTGAGTCTAGAATGATGTGTGTTAAGTTTCCTGAAGATCTGTTCAGATTAAAATAAAGCTCCCATATATTTTTTCGACCGATTTAATGTTAATGGTTCACCAGAATCCCTATATATATTTCTATTTGCACAAATCTTGGGGTAGTGTACTGAGATGAATCTAGAATATAAGTTTCGTGAAAATCGTTTCAGATTTAGATATAGATCCCATATATATTTCCGTCCGATTTAAAGTAAATGGTGCACCAAATTCCCTATATATCTTTCGATTTGAACGATGTGTGCTAAGTTTCATGAAAATCGGTTCGGATTAAGATAAAGCTCTTATATATAGTTTCTTCCGAATTTATGTAAATTGTGCACTAAAGACATAAATTTTGATCTTTTCAACAACTTTTATAAAATATTTTTCAATATTCTAGTTTTTCTTCGAGTGTAAGAAACAAATGTGATAAATTAAATTGTGTACACAAAAACACAAATGACCACAATAATTTCATATATGCTCTGAACCAAATACAAATTTAAATTAAAACAATTAAATTAAATTTAACAATTATTCCATAAAACAATAGATCGAAAAAAACGCGCACTGACATTTCATAAAAAGGCAATTATTTGTTGAACGGCATTACAAAGCATTTTCAAATGAGCCCCAGGACAGAACCGCAATATTTTGAATAAAAAAATAAGTTAATCATGAAATATTTCACAATATTAACACTCATTGTAGTGTTGGGCCTGACATCAATCAAGGTAGGTGTTAGGTATTAAAACGGAAAATATTAACGCGGTTATTTTATTTATTTGTTTTTATGACATAGGCCACCAGCGAAGAAGAATTTAGACAATTTAAAGCAGCCTGTGAGGAAGAGAATCCTTTGAATTCTGATGAATTAATTAATTTTGGTGATGATCCGGCAAATAATGTCAACGAACATATAAAATGTTTTTTGGAGTGTTTATACAAAAAACTAAATGTTATAAAAAATGGCATTGTCGACGTTAAGGCTCTGTTGAAATCCTTGGAAATGTATCCTTCATTTACGGCGCGCAATCATCAAGTGTTGCAGGCGGTTGACGATTGTCATACAGCTACGGGGGCAAATGATTGTGAAACTGCCTACAAGCTGATGATGTGTTTGAAAAATCATGGAGCGGATGTTTATGGTGCGGAATAGCTGCTGATGGAGGATATACCACTGTATTATTCGTAATAAAATAATAGGCACAAATAAATATATATTTTCTCTGTTTGCACCAATTTCAGGTTTTGAAAATTATTAAAAAATTGTGACCACAGTACTATGACTGCTAAAATTTCAGATGGGTATAAAATCTATTTTATTTTATAATTTTATATTCTTAGTATGGGAATCTATTCTTTAGTCTTTTAGGTTTATAATTACATGTAATCGAAATTTTTCCTTTATATTTGAAATTTACCACCCATGTTGTTTTCTCAAAAGGGGTATCTTATTATAATGCGATTAAAATTAAATCACTGTCAAAGTCATTGATATTTAATTCAAAATATTTTGATTTTTAATAATAACAACAAAAAGAGAACATCAATTCGGATCCCTTCTTGAATTTCACCTTTTAAAATTACAAATCACCTGAAACGATTATTGGGATCCTAGAATGCCCAACAACAAAAATTTTTCAATTAGGTTTCAAATGTTTTGCCATGTTTTTTTTATTTTTAGTAGTTCCATTCAATGCCAGCCTGCAGCGATCCAGTTACGTAAGTACGGTTGTGTGTGCGGTCAATGACAAAATAGAAAAAATGAACACCTTTTTTCCACATAATCCTTTTATTTTAAAATGAGTGCAGTGGTAATAAAGTGACCCTTATAATCCCCTATCATTTCACTGCTTTAAGGGGTTTCCATTCATCTGGTATTTGTATATGACCCCATCATCATGACATTCTAGTTTGTGTTTTTTTTTTCTATTGTTAATCCTTTCTACCAACGACACAATGGTAGGTCTGCAGAAGGTGCAACAGCCGAGTGTTAGAATGTGACATTAAAGGTTAGGTTGGAAATTTGAAAAATGTAAAATACTGTTCAATTATAAAATAAAAATAATTTTTAAAGAAATCCACGCTTAGTGTAGGTCCTTAAAAATAATTTTTAAAAAATTCACGCTTAGTGTAGGTCCTTAAAAATAATTTTTAAAAAATTCACGCTTAGTGTAGGTCCTTAAAAATAATTTTTAAAAAATCCACGCTTAGTGTAGGTCCTTAAAAATTTTTTTAAAAAATCCACGCTTAGTGTAGGTCCTTAAAAATAATTTTAAAACCAGTAAGGAAAGTAGTAAAGTCGGACGGGGCCGACTATATGATACCCTTCACCACTGTGGGTATATTAAACAGATGAATCCTAAAAGACGTCGCATTATTGAAGAACCATTAACATGAAATTAAACATGTCATTCTGCAACCTATACTACATTTTGGTCAGGTATAGAGTTTCTTCTTACGATGGGACAAAATAATGTAAATAAATTTAAAGCGAAATATCGAAATATAGGTTACACTTATTTCGGTATGGTTTTTGCATTCGGCCACATTTTGAGTTCCTTATTTACTTATAAATCCAAATTTACTTATAAATCCAAAATCGGACGAAAATATATATGGGAGCTATATCTAAATCTGAACCGATTTTCACGAAATTTAACACACATCGTTCTAGACTTAGTTCAGTATGCTATGCGAAATTTCGTGCAAATCGAAGGATATATAGGGACATTGTTGCACCATTTACATAAAATCGGACGAAAATATATATGGGAGCTATATCTAAATCTGAACCTATTTTCACGAAATTTAAGACACATCGTTCCAGACATAATTCAGTACGCTATCCCAAATTTCGTGCAAATCGAAGGATATATAGGGACATTGATGCACTATTTACGTAAAATCGGACGAAAATATATATGGGAGCTATATCTAAATCTGAACCGACTTTCACGAAATTTAACACACATCGTTCTAGACTTAGTATGCTATGCGAAATTTCGTGCAAATCGAAGGATATATAGGGACATTGTTGCACCATTTACATAAAATCGGACGAAAATATATATGGGAGCTATATCTAAATCTGAACCTATTTTCACGAAATTTAACACACATCGTTCCAGACATAATTCAGTACGCTATCCCAAATATCGCGCAAATCGAAGGATATATAGGGACATTGATGCACTATTTACCTAAAATCGGACGAAAATATATATGGGAGCTATATCTAAATCTGAACCGATTTTCACGAAATTTTACACACATCGTTCTAGACTTAATTCCGTACGCTATGCCAAATTTCGTGCAAATCTAACGATATATAGGGACTTTGGTGCAATATTTACCTAAAATCGGACGAAAATATATATGGGAGCTATATCTAAATCTGAACCTATTTTCACGAAATTTAAGACACATCGTTCCAGACATAATTCAGTACGCTATCCCAAATTTCGTGCAAATCGAAGGATATATAGGGACATTGATGCATTATTTACCTAAAATCGGAAGAAAATATATATGGGAGCTATATCTAAATCTGAACCGATTTTCACGAAATTTTACACACATCGTTCTAGACTTAATTCAGTACGCTATGCCAAATTTCGTGCAAATCGAAAAATATATAGGGATTTTGGTGCAATA